CAGGGAAGTCCTTAAGGGGTTTTTTAAAGCTTCAGTGAGAACAGCAGGGACACGTGTTCTCCGTTTCCAGTTTCAGGGAGGCGGTGGTTGAGTGTGGGCTCTGGAGTCAGCCTGGGTCTGAGACCTGGCCCCCCATTCGGGGTGACCTTGGTGAGGCTGTGCACCTTCACAGGGCCTCAGAGATGAGGTTAGGCCAAACAATATGAAATTGTTAATATGAGACTTTTTTTTAGATCGAGATCATTGTAGATTCACATGCAGTTGTAAGAGATAATACAGAGAGACCCCTTGGCTACTTTGCCTAGTTTCTTGCAATGGGAACATTTTGTCAAGTTGTAGTATAATATCACAACCAGAGTATTGACATGGATACAGCCGGTGAATCTTAATCTTATTCAGGTGGGCCTTCCTTGTACCGTGTGCGCGCGCAGTTCTGTGCATCTCCATCACATCTAGGTCCCTGTATCCACTATCCCCACCAGAGACTGTCCTGTTTGCTTTTTCATAATCACACCCACTTCCCTTCTGCTTCATCGCCTCACCCTTGTCCTTAACCCTGGCAACCACCAATCTGTCCTCGATTTCTAAAATTTTGTCTCTGAGAACGTCATGGGAATGGAATCATGAATGTAACCTTCTGGGGTTGGCTCAGTACAAGCCCCTTGAGATCCATCAGAGTTGTTGCCGCACTGGTAACAACTTTCTTTCCTTTGTGTTTCTGAGTGTTGTTCCCCGCAGACCACAGTTTGTTTACCATTCACCTGTTGCAGGACATCTGTGCTAATTCCAGTTTGGGGGAATTATGAATAAAACTGCTATGAACATTCTGTGGAAGTTACTGGACCATTTCTGATGTACCAAAATGGCGGTCTCTGACAACGCAGTCCAGTACCCAGAGGCGCCCTGCGCTCTGCTGGGTGTGTGGATGTGTGGACCTAGCTGGTCTGTGCACAGACCTCAAGACACATCCTGCCTCCTCCGTGCCAGTGTCAGAACTACGGAAGAAGTTCCTGCTCTGGAAGGCTGAGCTCTGCGCTGGCCGCCTGCACCCAGCCCCGTGCCCCTTGACCTGGAGCGTTACCACAGGAGCCCGCGGCTGCTGTCTCTGGGGAGCAGGGAAGGGAAGGCAGACGTGGACTCAGCCCTGCCGCCCTGTGGGTATGACCACCCTCCAGCACCTTGGTGTCCTTGCACTGGTTCTGTCCACGGTGTGTGTGGAGCATCTGCCCACATGGGGCTCCGCTGTCACTCGCATCCACACTCCAACTTCTGCCAGGGAGCGTTGTGGTCCCTGGGAGCTTGGGGTTGGAAAACTGGTCTGTGTCTTCAGACCTCCGGCTGAGGCCAGTGCAGCAAGACCAGGCTTTGGCTACTTGGGATTCCCGGCATCTGGGGCCTCTGGAAAGGCGGCACAGGAGGGCGGTCAAGGAGGCCAGGGCGGTGCTCGGTGCTTTAAAACCCAGAGTGTGGGCCAGCCGAGGGGACCGTGCTTTCCGTGGGACTGATCACAACTGTCTAGTGCTCATCTCATGCTGAACGGAAACTGCGATTAGCAGTCACAGGCCTTTGAAAAATTAATTAATTAATTAATTGGGTCTTTTTAGAAATAAATTTATTTATTTAATTAATTTATTTTTGGCTACGTTGGGTCTTCGTTGCTGCACCGGGGCTAATCTTCATTGCGGTGTGTGGGCTTCTCATTGCAGTGGCTTCTCTTGTTGCAGAGCACGGGCTCTAGGCGCACGGGCTTCAGTAGTTGTGGCACGTGGGCTCAGTAGTTGTGGCTCACGGGCTCTAGAGCGCAGGCTCAGTAGTTCTGTCGCACGGGCTTAGCCGTGGTTGACACTGGCTTCATGTTGCCAGGGTTTGCGTCTGCACTCTGTCCCCACTGGTCTCTACTTCTGGGTTGGGAACGTGCTCTTTGAATGCTGTCGCTCTGACAGTAATGTGTAGTCTACTGTGTTTCCTTGTGAATATGTGGCTTGATTATAGTTGTGGTGTTGGTTCTGATGTGAACGTGTGTGCAACACGAAGCTTTTTTCATATTTTAGGATATTTCTTCAATGTGCATTCCCCAGAAATGGGATTACTCTGTCACAAGGTACAAATATTTTAGAGGCTCTTAATTTGTGTTGTCTTCTAGGAATAATTGAGTCAATTACTAAGTATTTTCTCTTAAAATGAAAAGACCTTTAGACTAGAATTTAGAAGCCCTGGATTTTGTTTCCAACTGGCTTTTAATTCGCTGCATGACCTCAGACAACTTGAAAATTTATTATTTTTTAACCTCACTTAACTTGGGCCCGGTAGAGCACTGGTTCTCTACCCATGTGATTTTGCCCTTCAGGGGACTTGGGACAGTGTCTGGAGATGTGCTAGCTGTCACAGCTTGGGGAGGTGCTCCCGGCATGCGGTGGGCAGAGGCCGGGATACTCAGCACCCCGCGGTGCCCAGGACAGCAGAGGATGGATGATGTGGCTCCAGGTGGTAAGTTGTGCTGCGTTTGAGAAACTCAGGTTTCCTTCAAAACTGAATAGTAGTTGTATTATTTGTTGCATTCCGAGTGTAGACATTCATCATAAACTCTGTGTTGTTCCGTCACTGTCTTTATAGGAAAATTGAAAAGCTTAGTGACTTGTTGCTTTTCAGTAAAACCAAGGTGTGGTGATTGGAAACTGCTTTTCTAGTCCTTGAGGTTAATAATGTCAGCTTCAAAAAGTCCTGTACCAGCAACATAAGGACAGAAAAATCTAAACCCATCTTTGCAAAACACAGATACACATCTGTAAGCACAGGTCGGGAAACCACTTAGATCTTTTGGAAACCGAGTGCAGACCTTGGAAATCTGCTCTCCATAAGCACTGTGTCCTGGCAGCTGTGCTTGTCTCCTGTGTGCCTGTGCGTGTCCGGTCCTGATGCTGCACGGCTGGTGCGTTTGGAGGTGGGAGTGAGCTTGATGGGATTGTGGAACAATAGATGTGAATGGAATAATGCTGGTTGTTTGGTTCTTGGGATCTCAGTTCTCTTCGAGGATGCCAGTTCTCTTCAGGACCCTGCAGCGTCACTGTGTTCACATGGCCAGGCCGCAGGCTTACTTGATTGGTTGATTTGATTTCGGACATGGAGGTCTTTGGAGAGGCTTTTCAATAAAAGCTCTTCTTTTTATAATGATTTTGGAAGATTGTATATTGTGCCATTTGCTTTTCTTTTGATACTGTACTTTGGGTTTACTTTCAAAGGGTTGAAATTGCTACATTTTGATGTAAAAATATTTGATGGATGAAAAGATGTTTTTAGTTGTCTCTGTACCTTTAAACTCCTAGTTTTGAATGATGGAAATAAATTATTTCAATTAATGACAAAATGGAAGGGTGCCCAGTTACACAGTCCCGGGAGCGGGCATGGTCCTCTCATCTTCCTCTCCAGTCTTTGTCAGGGCAGCAGAGGGGACGAGGTCGCTGCTGGACCCGGGGAAGACTCACGGTGTAAACGTGAGAACCAGCTCTCCAGGCCCTGGGCCCTGGCCTGCCTAGCTTGAGCAGTATTGCTTAGACTTCGGGTGTGCTTCCTGGTTGGTATCCACCCCACCCCGACTTCCAAGAGGAACCGTTATTTTGAAATTTATAGTTTATGACTATTTGCTTTTCATTGATTTTTTTTTTTTTTTTTTTAAGATTTAGTTTTATTTATTTTTGGCCGCATTACGTCTTTGTTGCTGTGTGCGGGCTTCCTCTGGTTGCAGCGAGCGGGGACTGCTCTTCGTTGTGGTGCACGGGCTTCTCATTGCGGTGGCTTCTCGCTGGGAGCATGGGCTTTAGCTTGCGGGCTTCAGTAGTTGTGGCTCGCGGGCTCTAGAGCACAGGCTCAGTAGCTGTGGCACATGGGCTTAGTTGCTCTGCGGCATGTGGGATCTTCCCGGACCAGGGCTCGAACCCGTGTCCCCTGCGTTGGCAGGCGGATTCTGAACCAGTGCGCCACCAGGGAAGTCCCTTTTCATAGATTTTTACTGTATATGTAGTAAATCAAATATATTAAGTTTCACGTACTTTTGAAAGACACATACATTCAATATATTCCTCTGAGATCTTTTCTCACTCACTGTTACGGTTTTTGAGATTCGCTGATGTTGATACGTGTAGCTGCAGCTTACTCATGAGTAACGGGGTTGTTTGCCCATGGCTGGCCTGCCCACGAGGCCCCTGTGTGCTGCCACCCCCAGACAATATCTCTTAGTCATGTTGACGAAGTGTGCCAGCCCTTGTGGGGCCGCCCCAAACCTCTGGTTTCTCCTGCCGTGGACGCTGGAGGCATGTCTCCGACCTGGGATCCCAGGAAGCTTATGTGGTCTGAGTTATGGTCCTTTGCCTTTGAGGATGGATCCCTAGGTGGATAGAGAGAGGAGTGGAGAGGATACAGGGTGGCCGGGACCAGGCCCATCTGGGCGCCGCAGGAGCACAGCTTGAGGCTGGGAGAGGGCCTCCAGGCGGAGCAAGGCGGACGGGCCAGCCGTCGGGGCTTTGTGAGCCAAAAGGAGAGTTCACATTTTACTGAGTGTGATGGGGGTCCGTAGAAGATGCAAATGCATAACTTCGACAAAGGTTTACTGTCAAACTCCAAGTAAGGTGAAAGTCTGTGGACGGCCCTTCCAGGGCCCCAGTCCTCAAGCCCCTTCTCTGGGGAGAATGACCGGCCCATCGGAGTGTTCTTTCCTTAACTGGGCCTTTCTGGGCACTGCCATCCAGGAACCATGATCAAGAACAGAGACTTCCACCTGGGTAGCGTCCTCCCACAAACCACCAGGTGTGAGTGCCTCTCCTGGTGTCCTCTCCCTTTACAGCCCAAACCAGCCAGCCAGACATCCTAAAAACCTCTTGCTTGTCTGGAGTTCCGTGAAGTAAAGGAAGGTTGTAGTGTGGTCCAAATGGAGAGAGACTGACATTATAAAATGAACTGAGTAGAAATTATTATTTACATGAGCTAACTTTACTCTCTTCTTTCAGAATACCCTCAGTGCTGCTCTGGGACACGCCTCTGTTGGATTTAATTTACAGTCATCAACCTCGGCTTTTAGCGATGGACTCGGTAAATATTTTATTGTATTGCCTCTCTCATCAGTTTGTGTTATCTTCATTGGTTTGTAAAAAGAAGTATCAAAATATTTCTTTTAAGTCTTCACATTGGTTTTCTTGAGCTTGATAGAGCTTTGGCTAAGTGTTCTGGGTCCTGGATTTCACTTAACTGAGGGTGCTTCAGGGCGGTGGTGAGCTGTGTGGTGTCCCAGCGAGAGGCATTCTGTGGACAAATTAAGACAGGTTGGCAGCCTGGTCTGTGAAAGAAGTTGGTTTCTTGTCAACTTCTGTTGTCTTACTGGCTCAGTCCCCAAGTGGTCTGGAGCCTGTAGGACCTGCTTGCGGTGCCTGTTTTGTGCTCTGGGCGTGTTGCACACACACCATCTGAGAACTGTCCCTCCTCCTCTGGGGAGGCAGGCTGCCTGGCTGTGCTCTGCTCTGTGTCCCGTGTGTGGGCCAGCTGGTAGCCACACGTGGTTTTCCTGAAGTCCGAGGCCAGCGTGTGTGGTTGGTGGGTGTGGAGTGGGCTCCTGGCTCGTTTGCCCTGAGCCTTGCCTCCCGCTGGGAATTCCTAGCACGGCTGTGCCCGGAGAGGCAGCCGCCCTCCTGCAGCCTGGGGCCCGACTGGCACTCCTTGCTCTAGGACAGAGCCCTCCTCCCCTGGGACACGTTGGAAAGAAAACTCTTGGCTCCTTTGCATGTTTCCTACCGTGGCCAGGTATTAGTGTTTTAAAGCAAACAGTGCCAAAGTGTATCTTCTATTTTGTGTTGTTTCTAGCAGACAGGAAAGAAACCTTTCCTGCTACTTAATCTCACAGACCCCGTCCTCTATCTCAGCCGTCATTGTATCCGGCCACTTTGAAATGCACCTGGCTGGACTCTTTGACTTGAGGAAGTGTTTCCTTGGAAATGGGGGTGAGGTATGATGGAAAGATCTTAGTCTGCAGGGTGGTCTGGGATTAGAAAGAAGCCAGCCCGGCCAGTGGGGTGTGGTGGTGAGGGGCCGTGGTGGGCCCTGTAGCATGTTTGGAGCGCTCCCACGGCCATCTTCCAGGATGAGCCCATGCATTCAGCTTGGCTGTCACGGGCTGTGGGGCAGCCATTGAGAGACTCAGCCCAGCAGGGGGTGAGCTGGGCGTGGAGGGGCGGCCAGGCCCACCCATACTGCAGGCTTGAGCCTGGCCTTTGTTTGGAAATGGTAACATTGGCCTTAATTTATAACGAGGAAAAAGAAGATGCTGCTTAAATTAGGTTATTAACAAGCATTTGGTGATCACTGCTTAAAAGGAAACAAGTTATCAGCAGCTCTGCTGAGAGATCTGGGGCTGGCCCAGTTGTTCTAGTGGATTGTGAACAGTAGGTGTGTTAACGTTCGCAAAGTTTCCTGACATGTGAAGGGCTGGCTGTTTGACGGTAAGTCCCATGGCAGTAGTCCACGGTGTCTAATGCCATTTATCACTTTTGTGAACCATAAATATTCAGTTAATATTGATTGTAATTGTCTTTAAAAATCCACAGTGTATGGAAGGAATAGAGATAAAGGTGCTACTTTGACTGATCACCAGGGGGGCCCCTCCCGGGTCCGGGGCCTGCGTGTGTGGGCACAGGTGCCGGGGTCTATGATCCATGACCTTTCCTGGCATCAGAAGGCACAAATATAAAAACAGAATAATTTTGCAGGCTCTCTAATAATTGTTCATTGTTATTTATATCATTCATTATTTTATTTTATTTTTTTTGCGGTACGTGGGCCTCTCACTGTTGCGGCCTCTCCCGTCGCGGAGCACAGGCTCCGGATGCGCAGGCTCAGCAGCCATGGCTCACGGGCCCAGCCGCTCTGCGGCATGTGGGATCTTCCCGGACCGGGGCACGAACCCGTGTCCCCTGCATCGGCAGGCGGGCTCTCAACCACTGCGCCACCAGGGAAGCCCCATTCATTATTTTTAATTTTCATTTTGACCACGTAAGGTAGAATATGAAGCATTTAGATCACATCTGAGATCACTTTTTCTGACAGAGGTGGGCTTGTTAAATATCCTTCAGGGCACACTGCTGTGCTCTCGGCCCTGCCCTAAGGTGATCCAGATGTGGTTGTGGCTCCAGGGTCCGGGAGGGGGCGGGCCGATGCCAGCTCTGGACGTGGGCCCAGGCACTGCTGGGCCTCGGCTCTCCTGCCCTGTGAGGCGGTGATGGCCATACTCATCTGAAAGATTTCCCGAGAGCTTAAGTGACACTGTTTATGGAGGTAAAGCTCAATGAAAATAGAAGCTTTAAAATAGATTTATTCTTTGCTTTCCTTTCTCTAGCATAAAACACTAGTTTCACCTGATGGCTGGTGTAATTCTCGCTGTGTTAACATCTTTCTTGGTAAAGCGCAAGAGTCGGGGGAGAGGTGAGCCTTAAATGGCTCTCGATGGCACGCGTTCCGCCAGGGTTCGGTGAGGGTGTGGCTGCTGCCGCCGAGGGTTGTCAGCAGCAGGGACCCCAGGGCAGCGCAGGGTGGTACCGTTGCTTCCTATGGACAGGAGTTCTGAGTGATGTTTCCAAAAACAGAGTGGCTTCTGGAAGTGGCTGTTAGAGTAATAAAGGCAGTGTGTCTATCTGAATGGAGGCTTGGATCTAATGGTTTATGTTTCTAACTGAACACCTTCATAAAAAATAGAAAAGTGGTCACTTTCTAAAATTGAAGTACAGTTGATGTGTAGTATATAAAGCTTATGTAGTAAGTTATAGTATAGTGATGCGCAGATTTAAATGTTACATTACAGTTACTGCAGAGTGATCACTTTTGACTTGCTGGGGTGTGCAGAGCAGTGACACGCCCTGTCTGTGGCATCCTGGCGCCCGGAGCAGGCTGTGCTCACTGTGGAGCTGTGAGCATGAGAACTGCAGGTCTTGTCAGCGGCAGAACCAAGTCCCCCTCCACCTGCTGTCCAGATGCGGGCTGGGGGCGTGGGGGAGGGCGTCCTGTGCCTGGGGCCCCTCGTGACGGGGAATGTGTTGCCGTCTGGTGATGCAGCTCTTCTGGGCAGGTCTCTCCGTGCCCCTCACATGGCAGGAGTGGCAATTTGCTGACCCTGCCACCACCCAGCTAGTGGTTGGCCACTAGTGACTGTGGCACTTCACAGTCACAGCACACGTGGCTGGGGGGGGGGGGGCTACCGTCTTGTGCCTTGGCTGCAGGGCGGAAGGCTGGGTTGGATTTGCAGGTGGTAAGAAGCTTGTAGATACTAATGCTAATGATACATTTGCCTTTTTAACAAGGATATTTGTCAGGATTTAAAAATAGGTAACAAAGCACACTTTTGCTTCTTTCTCTAAGAAATATGTCTAGCTAATTACACCAATAAAACTTATGTATTCCGGATTTTTGAGTATAGTAAATTTTAATTGTAATTTTAGAGTTCTGGGGAAAATTCATTGTCTAGGCTCCCTTAAAGTACATACAAAGTATGGAATATTAGATGTCATTTAAATTAGATTTCATTAAATGCATGCTTTTTGTTCATATAAAAGTTGGCAGTTGTGTTCACACACCTCCCCAGAAAGCTCTCGCTCTCCCTACCACAGCCCTTGTTGGTCAGTAGGACTTGGGTCCTTTTATTCCAGGACATGGGAGTTGCCTGGAGAGTGCACATGCCCAAGAACAGGGTTTGGAAAATAGGCAGGGCAGAGCAGAAGGGACGGTCTGAGCCCAGGCTGTGCCCCAGCTCCTTTCCCTCTGGACGTTTCTAGCTGAACTGGCCTCTGGGCTCTGGTACCTCAGCTGTGCTGGGCAGGAAGGCATGTGGAGATTCTGCTTGCGACTGGAAGGGTTTGTCGGCTGTTTGTAGCACCTCATTTGTTGCCTATAATATTGCCATTGTTTTCCCTCCATCGTTAGCTACAGGGATTCTCATGGAGCCAGTGTTCATTTTATTTTTTGAACTTATTTTTTATGTTTTTATTTTTCTGCCTGCACCGCGAAGGCTTGCGGAATCTCAGTTCCTGGACCAGGGCTTGAACCTGGGCCACGGCAGTGAAAGTGCCAAATCCTAACCACTAGACCACCAGGGAACCCCCCGTTTTATTTTTTTAAATATTTATTTATTTGTTTATTTATTCATTTTTGGCTGCGTTGGATCTTCATTGCTGCACAAGGGCTTTTCTCTAGTTGTGGCGAGTGGGGACTACTATTCGTTGCAGTGCGTGGGCTTCTCATTACAGTGGCTTCTCTTGTTGCACAGCACAGGCTCTAGGCATACGGGCTGCAGTAGTTGTGGCTCACGGGCTCTAGAGCGCAGGCTCAGTAGGTGTGGCGCATGGGCTTAGTTGCTCCGCGGCATGTGGGATCTTCCCAGACCAGGGCTCGAACCCATGTCCCCTCTATTGGCAGGCGGATTCTTAACGACTGTGCCAACAGGGAAGCCCATCCGCATTTTATTTTTAATACCTTCAAATTTTAAAAGCTGGCTAAAGGGATTTCCTCCAAGTTTTATATTTGAGGGTGAAGAGATTTGCCTGTATCTGGCTCAGAGTAGAGCTCCACGGGTTGTTAAAACTGAGCTGAACTTGACTGCTGGACCAACCTGAAATCCCACCTTCCCTCCTGCTGCTCCTTGCTGGGCCTCAGGGGACGAGAGCTCTGTGCAGTTACGGATGTTTGCTGCGGGGGGTTCCTGTGCAGCCCACTTGGATCTTGGTGGGGGGAAGAAGAAGGCAGGGGAAAGGCGATGCAGGGCTGTGGGCCGGTGGGCTGTTCTGTGGGGTCGACCCGGACAGAATCGGGGAGGCGCCTTCATGGCTTGGCCTTGTGCACTCTAGGTTAGGTACCTTTTTTTTTTTTAATTAATTTTTATTGGAGTATAGTTGATTTACAATGTTGTGTTAGTTTCTGCTGTACAGCAAAGTGAATCAGTTATACATATCCATTCTTTTTTAGATTCTATTTCCGTATAGGTCATTACAGAGTACTGAGTAGAGCTCCTGGTGCTGTACGGTAGATCCTTATTAGTTATCTCTTTTATATATAGT